CCTAATGCGTGTTAGCAAGGCATTTTATTTTTATTAGTATTTTGAGAAGTATACTTATGTACACTTTGTGTTATATATACTCACCAGAGAAACCAAATGTCCGCACATAGGATGCAAGTTAATAAAACTGCTAGCTAATTTGAAAACTTTAGCTAAACTTAATGTTAAGAAAGCGTTATAACGCATCCTAATTTTTTCTACTATTAGTCGGAACGAACGAACGTTCTTCAGAGATAGCATCCCACACGCGCAGAGTAGCCACTCGAATTCAGAACGTTGCGGGCTAACGTAACACGCGAGCTGACAGGGGAGGAAAAACGCGTAACTTAGCGCTACCGCACTGAGACTCGAACGAGAAAAGCTGACCGACACATGAGTTGTCACAAAGTGGTAATGTCCTGTGGAAAACAGTCAACGTGGCTTTGTGCGGCAACTGTCGCAGTGTTCTGACGAGAGTTCGTTAGGTTTACTGCAGTTGGAAAAGTAGTTGCGTCAGTGTCCTGCGCAGAGCTCAACTAGTTCACTGTGGGTCCTGGGGACGAATCGGTTGTTCGTTGCGCAGTCTAAGTCGCCATATGGTGACGTGAGCCCTATGAAATCTGAGCAAGTCTGGCGGAGCTATGCCAGCGCCGCGACAGAGTCTGCCCGGTCTGCATTTCACATCTTCGTAAACAGCCATCCGCGCGCGTGTAAATCATCTTACTGCCCAGGGAAAATGAGCGCGTGGAGAGAAACTAGTAGAAAAGGTTTTTAAAATTAATTTGTTATTTGTGCTATCACAACCCATTTTTCACGCCATGCTTCTCCCATGGTCCCACTAAAAAAGTGGCGCACCCCAGGGCCTCGCGGGAACTCTCTATTGCCCCCAAGGGGATCATAAAGAGAAAGGCTGTTTAGAGTATGTGACAACATCAGCAAATACTTTGAATGACTCCTTTAAGCCCCTTCATACCGATTTACCTAAAGCCCTCTCCTGCTCGCCTATCAGCTCTATATTCAGGGTTTTGTTTTCTTGCACAACAGGTTATCACAACTCTAGCTTAACGTATTTCTCCCGTTTTATGGTGGACTACAAGAAACTTATCAGCGCCAAGCGTAAACGCTTACCTGAGTGACTTGCATGCATGTTTCCTTTTTTATGCTTAAATTGCAATTTATTGCCAATGTTATGCCCCAATACATCGACAGTGCTAGCGTAAAATGCTGCAAATGTTCCCAGTCAGGTTCATAGAGCCTAGTTTGACTTGATTTGACATACGCCGAACTACTGGAAATCCGGCATTCGTTTAACCTCAGCTACTGTGCGCACGCGTGCTTGAAAGCCTGCGGAACGCGACTGTGTTGTACCCCCATACAGTGCCTAACAGTCTGAAAGTATGCAAAAGTCGTCACCCATTTTGCTTCACCAACAGTTGGCACCTGATCTAGAAACATAGGGAAAATAGAAGGCCAATCAGAATGTGGTAACAAAGTTATGGGCGGCGCGGAAAGTGAATGGGCACTGAGAGTGTGAATACAAATACACAGCGGATGCATCCACTCCTGAGCGGATAGTCCTGTGATAAAAATCATTCACTGAAGCCTAACTGAATTGACGATCACGGTGACACGCATCATCTGCCCATGGAAAGCAGTCTACGAAATCATAATCAAACGTTAACTGAAGTGTAGATAGCGGTTTTAAGGTGTATGAACTGGAGTAGCATGCCATAACTGTTGTAAACGAATTCATTCAAAACTTGCACATCTATTGCTAAGCGAGCTGAAGTAACACAAGGGTTCAATAGACTCCGCCCGGTTCTGCATATGGCGTACGATTATATGTAGCTGTGTTGGCGCAGAATTGTGGCGGAATGACGCGATTGTAAAGCGAGTAACCAGATAAGAACAGTTTCATTGAATAAAACTGAGTCAGAACCTCAAACTCGACGCCAGACACAAAAGAATACTTTAAAATAGAGCAGCTAGACCAGACGTTAGAACAGTGACGCAGAGTTAAACACCCGAGCCCCGCTGACCCTCAATCCGGATACAAGTGGTTACTCCCAATGATGCGTTCCCTGCGCACGCCTTAACAAAGTCACACGGTGGATGCACTATTGTTGACGGACTAACAAATTACGAGTCTGATGTTGCCACCAACATGTCAGGAGTACCATCCATTGTAGCATCGACCGTTGTTAAATCAGGAGCAGTTGGTGTTGCCAAGATTATTGCGGAACCTAAGATGTCAGCGGTTGTCCCGCCGAAGAAAGTAGCCCCACACCCGTTCAAAAAGAAGACTAGACAACATCTTAATGATCTAAATGTTAGATGCTGCAATGTTTTAGAATCCAAAGCAAACTCAATTAAGAAAAGACGTTAGACGATAGAGAAAAATGGGACCGCATATATCAACAAATCGGGGTCCAAACTAACCCGACCAGTAGGATGCACCTCGTCCGACATCCGAATTCAAAACACTACGGTGAACCGAGGCTACTCTAAGTAACGATTCAGTGGAGTAATGGTGTAGAGACCATCTTTTGGCAAGCAGGCGCTCCAATCTAACACATGCATTGATCGTATCTCTCATGCATACCCAGATATTCCACGGTGAGGAACGTCCTAATCCATGAGACAGGTCAGGCATCCTCACGTTTTAGTGCACCGCTGCATGCGGAGCATTGCTGGTGTTGGAGGGCAGTCGCGTATCCGCAATGATGTGCGTAGGTGGGTAGTGGACAGTAACTGTCAGCTTAGTTCTTTGGGACAGCAAATAAAATTGCACAAGTTGAGTTGGGTTGGAAACGAGCTATGCATGCAAGTCATCGCTTACCGAAGAGAATACTGTTTTGTTTGCCGGGTGTAACGTAATGTGAGGTTCGAATGGATAAAGATCGACGTGGTAGCGGAAAATGATGTCACTGACAACTAAACTGGTGATCCTTAGTCTGTCTCACTTGCCGGGTTGGAGTTTAAGTGACACGCCTTGCGCTTGGACAGAGACGTTACAGGACATGACCCGCAGTGGGCATCAGTGTCGCGTTTGCAGTTGTTTCTTAGCCGGACTGTCTCTATTAATTGTATATACAGCTGAGTGCAATTGCTGATTATGACGTGCAATAGTGAAAGCCGCAAGGAATCTGTTTGGCCAAAGCCGCACTGTCTTCGCACCATATCCAGCTGTTCGTGACAGTAGTTGTTGACGAGGTGTAGGCGCAAGGGTCATGAATCAGTGTTCAGGGCATTTAGGCCTTACAATAGGTTCCTTCTTGGCCATTGTGGTTGTGCGGCAGTGAGACATCTGTGCAAATGACTAACTGCTGCTAATGATTACGTTGATGAGTCTGGAAACCTTATGAAAGGCATCCAGCTGCAAATACAGCTATCAGGATAGGTAATACGGTCAACTACATGCAGTTCTACGCAGTCTCGAAGCACGAGGACATCAAGTGGCTGGTGGTTGTGCAACAACGCTTCGCATACTGAAGGCGCAAAACAAATACCAAGTGGTAGGATCACTTCACAGAGTTTACCTAGAGTGAAATATGCCGTCTTGCGACTGGCAAATAGCAAGATAATATCGTCCGCATAACGCAGATAAATCAGTTTTCCAACAAAAAGCCTTTCAATGCCCACAGAGTAATATGTTTGCAAGAGAACACACCATTATGGAATCCACAAAACAGCTGAACAAGGACGGGGTGATTGAGCAACGCTGGTGAACATCACCCGTCATCGTAAAGTATCCGATAAAGCACGGTAGACTCGGACAGGACCTGTGGTTTTATACAACGGTACACTTAGGAAATTCACGTTTATTGAGAACGCTGAGTCGAACGCAATCTTGATACCTTTGCCCCGCTTCGGTATGCATGATACTTTCGCATCTATCGCATAGTAGATCTAAGGTCTATATATAGCGTCTGGGACGAAAATCGACTTCCTCATGCCTAATCCGAGATTCCCGGTCAGTAGCAAGTCGATGGAGGGGAAATGAAGACAGTAAGTTGTTTACATCACATTAGGCTGACACCCCTGTGGTTAACTATATCGGTGAGGCTGTCCTTCTTACATCAATGCTATGATCGATTCATTCCAGTTGACTGAGGCCGTTCGAACATGTGAAGCAGTGCTGAGCAGAGAACCTTAACTAAACAGAGCAAGTGCGAAATCGATCGAGGACTGTGAGCACGTTAGAAACTGTAGCCTCTGATGGAGCATCTACGCTAGCATAGCATTACTCAGTATGCACCAAATTAGTTGGAAAAGGCGCAACAGCAAGTGCTAACTGAACTGCGCTCGAAAATGCTGCTACCAAGGAGCTAAACAGCATTCCCTATTGTGAACTGGTGCACCGGAGCTGTCATTGTTCGTGTTATTGACGCATAGAACTGGGTACGATAACATTCCGCCAATTCTACTTCCTTCATTGTTCAGCACTCTTTATCCACCAGTATTCTTTGTCATCCTATGGAACCCGTTCCAGATCGCAACTAATGGTTTGTCTGGTCTTGTTGTGCTAGATGGTAGTGTGGGTCTTCTACAGGATTCCAAAAGGATCTGAAACCATTGATCAGTTTGGTAGGAGTAGCTAGTAAAAGGCCCGGCGCCACGACGCAGTATAGCTCAATGGCTCGAAGAGGTTCGCAAACCCTCGCAACAAGTTAAGGTCCGATGTCGTCCTGACGGTATCCAGAGCATCAAACGCGATCTGATGACACAAAAGTAACGATATTAGGTAAGCTGTCTAAACCATGGAGTGTAGAGTCATCCGGAACTGTCAATGTTATCGTACGGTTAAACAAATGCGAAGCTATAAATGAATCAGAACAAATTTGTTTACACAAATGGGTTAAATGCTACCAAATGTTTGTCTCTACATGGCATATTAATATGCAGGTGAGAAGGAAGCCAGATTTCAACTCTAAACGGTAATGAACGCCTCTTGTGAACTGGTAGATGGATAGGCGGAAAAAACCAACACGATGCAAATACAACCGTATGTGAGAGCTTACCGCTAGGGATGGGATAAACAGTCCAGTTGGAACCTTGATGCCGATAGTGAAAACGGTTAAAACAAGTTTGAGGAACAATCCTGTAGACAGCAGTGCCATCGCAGTGGACATGTCCGGGCCCGCTGGATGAATCCCCAAGATATTACTTGTTGGATCACTGGAGTTAACCCGATAATCACTGAAAAATTATAACGACAGTATGAGTGAAACTGCGCCGCGCAGCCGAGTCGAAAGAGTACTGTCATTCACCAAAATGGAGTGTATTAGTGTCACACAAGAGCTTTAGAGCAAATTTTATTTTCTGATTAATAGGATTTTAATACTCAACGAACTCCTCGTTCCATCGAACTTAATAACTACAAGTGTGTCGTCGAAACAGCGGCATTTTCAGTGAGTTTCTGAACTGCCCCAATGGTTCCTCACTGGGTACTTCCACACAATTGCGTTCTCATTTGGAGTTATTAATATGCATGTGACAACACAAGATTTCAGGATGCATAGGCTAGATTTGTAGAGGAACACTAGGCTAATTGTCACAAGCAGGGATCACATCTGATGACATCAAACAGGTTAGAAACCGGTCATGGAATGCAGTGTTTTCAAGCAGGTAACACCCAATATTCATCGGTCTAGATTCCAGTGACGAATTGACCAAAGTTCGTTTAATGCGAATCGCGAGCCACATTGGGATTGCCCGCCGTAATCCGTCCACACAACGAGGAATTCAAAATAGCTCACCAATAAAGATCATTCTTTTATCCAGGTCATGCTATGCGTAACTCCTTCCCACCGGCATGTAAGCTGTAAATTAACGACGATGAACGGTTGTATGAATACATGGTAAGTAGCTCAGTATGAAGCACAGGCCCCAAATCGATCGCACCGCATTTTCTCAGTTCCTGCTGACATCTCAATGCGGACATCCAATCCTGATATCGAATGGACACAGTTCCAAGTTTACACACGTTTACTACTTAAGATTTTCTTTAATCAAGGCGAGCTGTAATTTGACCGCTTTGAAATGCTTTCAATTAATTGTTTTTCATTCAGTGAGGCTCTGTGGTTGACCTCATTCGCACTGCATCTGGGAAACAACTCCTACCTAATCTCATGAGCCGCACAAATCATCCACTGTCGCAAAATCTTCCGCCCATAGAAACGACTGCAAGACGCATGCCGGATCAGCACACAACTACCTACTGCCTTGAAATTGTATTGCCCCCAGCATGGATCAAGTTTGTGATTTGGTTTGCTCTCTGCCCTGTGGTGTAAACAAAGTTGGAGAAATGCGAAGTGACGCTGAAGCTCATCAGTAATTCATCCGGTTCCGTGTTGTTCCCCGTGCTCTTTCGTGCAAATTCATAAGAGTTACTAACGAACGTACCTGTTCACTTAACGGTTGCCATATAGACCCAGCTAATAGTTTGTGAGTTGTTGCGTCGGTGAAACTACACAGGCAAATGGCTGTGCGGGTAGAGCAAAGGGTGGAGCTGTCAAGTGCGCGATGAGCAAAATTAACCAGGTCGATCTGATGGGCGTTGAAATGTCGATCTGCATACAGAACGAAAGAGGACACCACTACCATCAAGACCATGGTTGTCAGTGATGAAGCATTTGAGTGCACCTCCTGAGTTGACATCTCGATCAGTGACCATATAGGCGTGGTCATTGGCTTAGTTCACTATCAAATGCCTCACGCAATATGGCTGCTTCAACTGGTTTAATGAGGTTTCTGGACTAGTGGTAAATGATTGCTTGGTTAACAAACAAACCGATTTCAGAAGGGTTTGAAATGCAATTCAAGCTATTGTAAATAACCGATTGTTCTGAAACATTCTAGAATCTGTACTTCCCCGATAAGTTTGGTTTTTAGTTGAATTTCGAAGTTCGAATTTCGAAGGTTTAGTCGTATCATTTGCGTAAGTAACTGTATCGCCTCTTTCAGACGAACCACGGAGTAAGCTAATGCGATAATCGGTGTTTTTTAAAGTAGCAATCTTTTGTGAAGAAGTATGAGGAAGTATCGAGTAAAGAAGGTGCATTACCCTAGGAATCAGAGATGTGGGTAAGCATTGCTTTAGATAGAGAAATCAGTGAGTTGTTGCTTAGAACTAACAAGGAAAATGAATGAGAAATGTCCGTGTTTGACAGTTGCCGTCCATTGAATAACCTATAAAATAACAGCCAAATTAGATGGAGCACGCTCATAGCGTGGCAGCCGACTGTATACCACGACTTACTGTGTGTAGGCAGTGCTGTCCCATTGAGTGAGATTTTAAAGGGGGGAGCACTCGGGGTGGCCAAAATCAGAGTTTGACCGAAACTGAACAATAGTAGAGTCAGTGATGTTGAAAAAGTAACATCCTCGAAGCTAGCAGTTAGACATCGCCTTGGTGTCTCCAGCACCAATCAGTTTGTCAGGATTTATGAAGCGCTGGTTCTTAATTCACCGACGCTGCATCGGTCGCTTTTCTCATGCTCGTAAGCTGGTAATATGTCAGATGATTATTTCCAAAAGAGCAGATAATCTTACGAAAGCATCGTACTTTCTATTCATTCTTCACCCTAGCGAGATATATCGTTACTTCGGTTGTCATTGTAACACGTATGAGCTGACAGAATTGATCGGGGCAATCACGACACGCGACCAGACACTAAGACGGCACATGCTTGCCCTCTTTCTATCCGATAAAAGGGGTGTAAAAAATAGTGGTCGAATAAAGATGACATGAATTATGGAGTGGGAATTCACCAGCAGGATTAAAGTGAATGGTAATATTCCAAAAGAAAATGACCTGATCAGTTCCCCATTAGTTAGGCAACAGTCACAAATACCAAAGGATAAAGACCAATGGAATGCATGATCAATGCAAACTTGAGTGTGCTAAGTTAAAGCCGGGAAATTATGTCCGAACGGAGCATTCGTGATGTAATGGAGAGAAATCGAAGACGGAATAGAGGACTTACCAAATAGACATATCATCATAAGGACTGCACGGACTGACTAGAAGTTGAATCAGAGCACTGGTGTCCATGCGTAGGTACGAGTGGGGGAACGAAATAAGAGCTGTCACAGCGGCAACAATGATCACTTCACGAACGGGATAGTGACCGAGCCAAGTAGACTTGCGTAAACCGCAAACGTACAAATTTGCCCGGTTGAATATGGTACCAAAAACGCCCTTAATAGAGGGAATAGAAAGCAACGTAAAATGTGTGCTTGCAGCGATAGCTGAGAGAACATGAAGCGCATCAGGTTAACTGGAAAATTGTGTTTACTGAGCGGCTTCGATCATTTGCAAATCATGATCTAACAGCGAAGCAGTGACAAATTCATGCGTCTACGAATCCCATTTGGAATACTATGAAGCGGTCGAGCCGGATGGTGTATTAAAAAATCCAATGCAAGCCGCTGCAGCTAATGAACGTGCAAGGAGATTTGTTTAGACAACAGCCATTTGCTGCGTTTCGCTCTGATCTTTAGATGATGAGCTGCAGCCCGTAGGATTAATGCTAAAACATGTTGCCCGATTACTTCTTATAATTGTAAGTCTGACGGGAATAAGTGAAAAGTGATCTCTTCATTCGTTAAGGATGGGCATAATTCATCAGCTGAAAAGCGAGATACTAAAGATTATAGAATACAAAATAAAAAACCAGTGGCATGATGCTGTGCATTATATAATGCACCGAGTGTGAGATGGTGGTTGGAGGGGGAGGATAAGCGAGAGTGCGGAGTTCAGAAGCTCACAACACAAAGGCCATTGGGGTTGATACAACGCCATATCAAAATCTTTATCTAACCACAAATGCCAATCATTGATCGGACAGCACCCGGGCAGTCGAACGGCACCAACCGATGAGTTACGCTCAAAGTTCATTTTTAGTACAGAATTAAGACAAGCTGAAACAGGTCGCAAATCTATAGGAAGATTATAACATGAAGAGGATACCAGTTGAAGAGCAGACTCATTAATTCTAACAACAAAAGTGTTGCCCTTACGCCAAGCAAGCCGAGGAGAGCGAAAGGGAATAGTTCCATCACATGCCATTGCGCTTTGTAGTCCACAGAGAACATAATCATGGTGTCGCTCCCATATGGGTTTAGCATGCGCAGCACGTTCGCAGAGACCATTGCGCAGAAAAAGGACCGGAACATCGTTTTCATGGGGAAATAATAACTTGCTTCCTCCAACGAAAACAGCACGCCACCGATGGGGGCCCCAAAAGCCACGGCGACAGCAGCAGCAGCTGAAGCAGATAATATCTGAGTGCAGAGAGCAAGAAAAACGGGGAATGACACAGTAAAAGTTGCAACAGAGATCGGAATGTGCAGTAAATTAAATACACCGCACTTCGTACAAGCAAACTGATAATTAAGATAACAAGGTTCATAGGTAGACACTGAGCGATCAGCAGATGAGATTGCACTGATTGGTTTTCACTTGATTTGGCGTAACGAGTTGCTCATGCTAAAAGTTCCATTGTTATATTAGCCGTTGGTATTTGTTAATCAGAAAGATCCAAGTGGATGAAGCAGCATTGGAAAGACACCGATGGAGTTGTGGGCATTGGTTAAAGATGACCTTGGCTGCTCATCTGTTGATCGCTTTTCCCAGCTTGATAAAGCGATGGCATATGTTTCACCAACATGCGAGGTGGCATCTTCGGTGTGGAGATATGCAGTGTTCCAAATTATTTCGATGACGTTGGCTGTTCGAACCACAATCAGATACCGACAAAAAACGGTAATCAACATATCGCCCTTCTACGCAGAAGGTTTGGACCCAATATCTTTCCACAAATGTTTAACGCCTACGTACGACCCAAGGTCGATTACACCATCCACGAGTGGTATCCGTGGCAGCAGCTGGGTCTCGCTGCGCTTCAGACTCTTTCATCTGCCATACAAACATTGACCGAAGTCAGTAAGAAAGTACAGCACTCGGTGACGGTGCATTCGGGGACGAATTCACAATGGTATACGAAATAATGAGAAACTGCAACCACCTATACCGGAAGCCACTGGGACTAAGCCACAACATCATCACATGAAGGTGGTGAAGCCGCTTTGAAAGCGCCAAAAGTTCTGTTCCCTTCGAGTGTGTCAGCCATGCAATGCTCTCCACGCGTATTTTGTCTCTGCAACGAATCTAAGGATATTTTAAAAAACGTCTTGAAAATGCGTCGCGCAATTTTCTCTCGTTTCAAAATTGTGTTCTCCAGGGGGCTAAACAGCGCAGCAAAACAGTGCAACCCAAATTGCAACGAGACGAACATACACTTGTTGCTATGAGAACAGTTCCATGTGTACACTAGTAACACCCAAATTTACTGACAGATTTTCGTAGATTTTGATATTTCCATCGACCATTGTGTGGGACCCGTTAACCCTTAGCCTTATTGCCCGTTTTATACTCATTTTTATAAAGCCAAAGAATTTGTAATTGCGTAGTCTCTACGGAACCAGGAAAAGAATTCAAACACAGCATCCAGAGCAGTTCAGTTTAATTGAACAACTATGATCTGAGCAGCGAAGCGCGGTGGATAAATTTACCACGACTCAAATCGTCAGAATAACAGTAAATAGCAACGTCAAGATTGTGGGGTTGAACGAAAATAGAAGAGAACGAAAAATAACAACCAGATGCGAGAAACCACACCAACACCACTGACTGCGTGACTGCGCCATGTCTGATGCGGACCTCAACCATGTGTGGACTTTCCCGAGGCCCCCATCCAGAGACAGCACACACCAGCCTGCCCAAGTCTCTCAGTCAACTTCTCCAAGCCTCTACGCCACGTCATGGACGGGCCACCTCGACGTTTCGCCCAAGTTGGTGCAGCCACGACATATAATACGCGTCGAGGAAGCCGGTCAACGGACAAGCGGAGGACATGGTCTAGCCACGGTAAACGATTAAGATTCAGTAAACACTCGAGTGAGGACAAGGGCTTCTTGTTAAAAACAAACTGCAGCAAATCAGCATTGTTCACTTGGTCTTCTCACCAGACGTGGGCAATACCCCGCAAGCACTGGTGATCAAACACGGCCAAGCGTTTAATGAGTTCACTACGAAATGGCTAGGTCTCTGATCCATACAGTAAAACCGATATTACTGCGGCGTTATACACTCTACCTTTCACAGACAAGCAGATATCCCGCCGTCACCATAGACGATTAATCTCTGGAAAGCCACACGGCCGTGCTGATACGCGAAGTAACTAACGAGTGAGGTGACCACCAAAGGTGACAGCAACCAAGATACGTGGCTGTAAGTGATAGCTAGAACCGCAGGTGAAGTTGCAAAGCACATATGCCGAAGCGTGCAGTGCTACGCGACAGTCTAAGCGGTAGTGTTTGCATAGCCACTTAGTGAGGTTCAAGGAGAGCTATATCGTCCGCACATTCCAGATTTGTCAGTCGGTCACCTAGCAGAAATTACACTCTGGTAGTATCTGCAAGAACAGAGTCATGATCATTTCGATCACAAAGTCGAAAAGGAAGGAATGTATAGGACAACCCAGGCGAACCCCACTTTTCCGGGTCCCGTAGACCATTACACGGCCTCAGGAGTCACAGTAGGGTGACTGCGCGCCTTTCATGAATAGGCAGTGTCACAAGCTGATGCGGTCAACCGAGTCGAAGGCGTCTTTCAAGTCAAGGAAAACCATCGTAGTCGCTCGTCCATATGTGTGGTCATGGACCGAACAAGTAACCATAGAAGGCGGATAAAAATTTTGCACTTATCAACAACGCCAGGAAGCACAAAACATTTTCCATAGTGACCCGGTTAACTGAGAAAAGACGAGCACTGGCCACATAACCACTCGTTAGTCCGAAAGTGTATGATGGCATAAAACCCAGTAGAAATACAATACCCGCAGGATGGCAAATGAAAAAGACTATCAAAATGCTCTGGCGTAAAACGTGAGCTATGGGCAGTCCAGATAGAACACTGTTACATTATCGTGTAACAGTAATCGAGTACATCAGGGGTCATCAAACTACAGTCCGCGAAGTCAGTCCATCAGGCCCGCCGATCTGGCCGATGAAAATTAAGGAACCCCAGCTATGATGATACAACAAATCTAAATACTCTGTTTAGAATAGTAGATCTCTGTACGTACGAAGACCTACCGGCCGGATTAGATTTGCATTTTCTTGTTTATTGTAATGTCCGACGCTTCAGAAACATTCACTTTTGCCCCCTGTCAAGAAGTTGGTTGTCTAACTGATAAATAATTTAACTACAATTGTGTGTAGAAGCAAAGAAGTAGCAAACATTCTGTAATAAACTAGATGGGCAGAAACGGTGCACGCTGTTTATGTAGGCCAGTACAGTGGTCCATTTCCAAACCTTATTAGATGACATACTTCAATACAAAAGGCTAAAATCGTCATATGTACTTTTAGTGAGCCGTACCTACATCAGAGACCCACAGTCCTCTGCTTTCTTGTGTTTAAAAGGATTGCAATTATGTTTCCAAGGTCTTTCACTTTAGTTGTAAACGCCATTGACCACACTCTTCGCTATGTCTGTACAGAAAGGTGAAGGTCGAGTGACACGTTTACAACAAAAAATCGGGAGTAGTGTTTCTTAGTGGAAACAAAGAATCAGAAACCCAACTGAGGCGAATGCGCTGACGATTTGAAAGAGTACAATCATCAGTGTTATTCTGATACAAAACATTTATCAATATACTGACAGTTTTCTTAAAAGCACCGGAAGAAGCGTGATGCTTTCCTTTTTAGCATTTATCCAGAAGACCCTTAACTCCACCGTATACAGCGATGATATTCTATTAAATGATCGCCACAATGATATATCGAAAAATGGGCGATTTCAATGTACCTTCAATCGTAATAGCGTCCCATAATGAGCCAACCTTCAACTTCTTGAGTTCATGGACATAGCGCTTTGAATAACCCTGTATATCAACCAACCAGACACTGCGGTTCAAACAGGGTACGACTTCTGGACTTAGTCCTGACCAATAAAGAGCTGATGACTGACTGAGTCAATTTCATACGACCATCCACTAGGTAGCAGCGCCCACTCATCTTCCACTAAGTGGAAGGATTAGTGATGGGGAAGGAAGGTAGGGGGAATGTATGCGATGAGGAGGAGTTGAAATCTGTGTTGAGCTTGTCCACATCCATAGTACCGAGGGGGAATAAGATTGTCGCCGAAAGTGGTTTCCAGAGCATCAACAGATCACGGCAGCTGTGACTTCCGAAAATGGTTACACGGTACAGACGGTTAAATCTGCTTATTTCGGCTCTTATGCCCAGAAACAGAAATTTGACACTGGCAAGTTATATTTATAGACATGCTCTTTATCCTTACACCGGTGCTTGAGTAGTCAAGATGAAAATCAATCAATTTGAAGATATATGGTCCTGATGGGGCAATAATGATTAAAACGGTAGTTGATGTCGTCTGTGAAGTGCTCACATTTAGCTGACAGATCCTCAATGGCGAAAAAAATGAAGTCGGTTGAATAAAGCGTCAATCTGAGCATTCTGATGGACAGTTGCGCCGTATTACACTTCTGAATGCCATTATATGTCACGCAATGTAGCTGGCTTTACAGTAAGTCTTGGGATATTTCTTCATTATACAGTGGTCCGAATTACAAAGCGAGTGCATCTTTGGGTGAAAAACGGGTTCTGTTTGTGAGTGAAAAACTAAATCCACGTGTGCGTAAAGTCTAGTTGGTAAATCCACCAAGCTGGTTACACCAAGCATGTTAACGAAAACCCTCACATGCGAGGATGGAGATGGAAGGTGTTAACTTACGTTGTAACTCTGAGACAAGATGGTCCGCAAACTTTTTCATCTCTGACAGTGAAAGTTCCCATTTAAAACAGATACAAAACCATTAAGAAACTTCTAGTAGATGGCAGCTCGCTGAAACCGTTGAGTAAGCGAACAACTGTAAAACTAATTTATACCAGTCTTCGCTAATGTAGATAATCACAGCTCCCATGCAGCTTTCCTGGGAGGTCTGATCTATCACGTCGATAGCCACTGAGTTTCCCGACATCAATGTTGGGAGGTAACAAAGTTGTGTAACAGCCCCATTCGTGTTTGAAAATTCTCTTCGTTGCAAAGTTTCTCGAGATCAACAATCTTCCCGAGAAGCGGCGTGAGCACAGAGCTCGAATCTTGTAGACGGTTTTCCAATAAACAGCAGGTACAGATCGACAGGGTCTCTAGTGTTTGGGTAAGTGTCACCTGTAAGCATTTTGGCGCACGTAAA